CGGTTGAGCAGTAAAGAAGGAAGACATTAGGGGAAAATCTCTATAGCGATTTCCTAGCCATTCATCTCTACCCAACAAAACGACTACATGAAAGTCACGCTCGCCAGATTCTCTTTCTCGATCAAGTGGGCAGGGAACTGTTCAACTACTTGAGGCAGCTCTAGGTAGAGGCGACGGCTGGCCCAAAAAAACACTGGACAGAAGATGAGCATTAGAGAAAATGAAGGCAACTGATCCTGATTGGGCTCCCATCGAGGCATGAAAGGCGCTCGGACAGCACGGGATCAGGTGGCTCATCCGGTCTCTGATCACCGTGACCGCTGAAGGAAGGATTCCAGATGCAAAAAGTGGCAGTACTATTGTCCTTACCTTATGCCTAGGTAAAAAGGGATGCGATGTAAAAACTGGAGTGAAATCAACTGTGCTAGCAGTTACAACTCAAAATTGAGAGAACATGCCACAATATCGGAGGTACACTTCGGCCTGGTTTAGGAAGGTCTACAGCGGATACTATCTTCACGCCTAGGCAAGTAATGAAGAAGCATCGAGAAAGCGCAGCCTTGCTACCTAGCCTCCCTCGATCTGGAAAAGGCATTCGATCGCCTCCCGCGGTAAGTCTTCTGGAGAGCGTTCTGAGGAAGAAACATTTCTGAGCATCTGATCTTCTTCGTCAATGAAATGCTCGGTGGGTCCAAGACGATCATACGCACTTCTCATGGCTAGACGGAGCAATAAATGCCTTTGTTGGGGTACACCAGGGATTATCTCTGAGCCCGTTCCTCTCCTGCCTACAATCCTCCTGACATCATCACGTAGGGAATCTAGATGGACCATACTCTAGGCTGACTGTATCCCTCGGATAGCGGAGAGCAAAGAAGGACGCCAGTACAAGCTGCAGAAATGGCAGGAAGTGCTGAGGAGAACAGGCTCCGGCTGCATTTGAAGAAGACCAAGTTCCTCAGCTCCGAGGAGTGCACGGGGTCAGTCGTCGACGGTCTCAGGGAAGGTTCAGGACTTTCGATACCTTCGAAGCGAACTAGCTGCTGATGGTGACTAGCCCGTAAAACCCGATTGAACGCGGCATGGATGAAGTGGAGGGAGCCCACTGGTATCCTTCGGTGCTACGGGGCGCTAAAAGGAAAGGTGTACAGGACAATGGAGAGGCTTGCGATGAGCTATGGCAGCGAGTGCTGGTCCGTATGTAGGAATCATGAAAGGCAGCTTCACTCCGCTGAGATGAGGATGCTAAGATAGGCCTGCGGTTGGACCCGACTAGATCGGAACAAAACACGAGGCGTTAAAGCGGACATACAAATAGCTCCTGTACAGTTCAAGATCAGAGAACAGCGCCGATGGTACGGTCACGTACAGAGAAGACCACCGAATCATCGGCAAGGGAGGCATTATAATTTGAGGCTCGAGGGAAGCGTCCACGAGGAGCTTCAAAGAAGAGGTGGCAGGACGTGATAAAGAAGGATCTCACCGGAGCCGAGGTAACGGCAAAACATGCCGTAGACAGAAAGAAATGGAGACGGCTGACGTGAACAGGGGACCCCACGTCGGCTCTAGGATAAAGAAGAAGTGACCATATGGTCAATTGGATGATACTTATTTGTAGGTTCCATAAATTTCTATTTTAAATTCATGCGCATAAGAGTTTGTTGAAAACCTGAGCTGTAATCACGTCTCAGGTCTACTTCGGAGATGTTTCTTTTCAGAGCTTTCTATTATATATTCTCACGCCGACCAGCCTGGGCAACTAAAGAACCTTGTTTGACTCATTCTGGCTACTGGCTTTCAAGCGAATATGCCTACGTTCAGTCTTCCGAAACAAGATTGATTATTATATCGTATTCACAAAAGGAAGCAGCTGCAGCTGACGTACGCCATCATTGTCTGTAAATGGAAAGGTCGGAGAGAGCAAAGCGTCGCGTTCGAAATAATTGTAGTGCTCATTGCACTGGTTTGTATTTTAGGAAATGTCGCCAAGGCTGACGTGATTATCAAAGAGAAAGGGTTAGTGCTTGCATTTTTGTATGATCGCTTTTTGTGCGATGGCGCTACTTCGAGAGGTCCTTCCCGAAAGCGGATAACAGATCGCTTGAGGAGAAACTGCTTTCAATCCTCAAACCTCTTTCGAGAAAAGAAAGAAAGAAGTGAGTGGTTCATCACGATATCACGGATGGCTGTTTCTGTTCGATTATATTCCATATAACTTAGCCTTACCCTTTGGAAGATCACTGAAGGTAGCCTTCCAGATCGCCAATCTTCCAAAATATTCTATATATGGATGCAACTCCATTGTTAATCCGAAAGGAAACGAAGATTTCATTCGTGCTGCCAGTATGTACATGAAGTCGCCTCTGAAAGTGACTCATAATGCACCAGAAGGCTCGGAGGCCCCCTTACCGAAAGATTTGAAATGACTTTCAGAGGATCAACGGAAGTACAGCAACTAAACGGTCTGTTTCATCGATTACTCAGTTGCTTAAGTCTACTTGTAAGAGAATGTCCACAGGAGTGGAGCGATGGTTGGGCAAAGAAAGCACTTGAGTGGTTGAAGTCTCCAGAAAGTGTTGAAGCTGACGTGATCATCAAAGGAAAAGTGTCGGTATTGGTATTTCTCTATCGTTCTTTTGCTTGCAAAAATGCAATTTCTTACCAGGTACTCCCCAAAAGCGGGTTATGGACACCTGTGGCAGAAAGTGAATTGGATCCTCGCTTCTCGTTTTGAGAATAAAAGAAAAATGGTGGGTTCAAGACATTACAGCGGTGTAGAAATAGGTTCTACACATATTCTGTTGGGATTTCATATTTCGTTTAGCCGAAGAGTAAGAAAAGCAGTGTATTCAGATCGAGGATCTACCTGAGGGTATGGATTCAACGGTTTTCTGAACACAATGGGTCATGGGCGGATTGTGTAAACCACAGGAAAGAGCGAAACTTCCAGCGCTGACGATTCTTCTACGATTCCTTCTCGGCTCATTTCAATCTACAAACAAGACTTTTGCCATGCTCATTGATTCAACATCTATCTTTGGATGAGTCCGCGGATGGAAATGCTCCCACTCATTGTATTGTATCCCTGACGTCCTTCCTATTAAAAGCTGCCTAAGCGCTGAACGCATGCATCATCACAAAGAACGTTCTGAGCAGGTAGTTTCCAACTTTTCATTTCTTTTGCTCTAGGCATTACCGTTTGTGTGATATTCTTCCGTCATTCGCGACTTCAAAGGGAACTGTTTCTTACTTATGGCTATGGCGGATTTTATTCACTTTAATGGTGGAACCCTGCTGAGGTTTTCCAAACGGTAAACAGTTTTTCAAAGGTCTGTCTACTTCTCCCCGAATATCGGGTCGTCGCGCTCGCCGCGACCGATCACGTGAAACACTGAAAGATTCTTCCTCGTACTTGTAAGTTATTTGAGTTGATACTTCCTATTTAATCAAACTCTCAATGACCGCAGCCGATGCGACTGCACCCCACTTGCGCTAACGTTAGACACTGCGCACCGGAATATAGTGAAAAGAATCTTGGTTGTTGGCCAAAGTGGGGCACCAGCGTAAAACTCCTCATTGTTTCGAGAGTTGTGCTTGAACTATACCTCGAAAAATCTGGACGGCTATGTAAACCCCGAGTTGAAGGTAAAAGTGTGGGACGGTACTCAGGCTATCTCAAGAAAGCTCCGCGAGGATAATGATTCCCCTTCATAATTTTCGCCCAAAATTCGTCCCTGCCATGCGTCATTGTTACCTCGTCATCGTTGTTCTTGTGACGCTTCATCGAGTTCTCTCAGTCGTTGGTGCGGTTTTGCTTACGAGGAGAAGGGGTTCTTTGTTCGATCTTATCGTTCCCTCTTTCTCTCACGTCTTCCTCCGTCTCAATGCCTTTTTTGGGCGCGAAACCTACGCGAAATTGGCAACGTCTCCGTTCAAACGAGATTCCTTCTCTCCCACCCACAGAGTTTCTTTCTTGAAGACTGTAATCTGACAATGAGAGGAGTAAGTGGACGCGCGTGAGCCGCCAGCGCGAAACACCTGCCCCTCTCATAACGGACCCCTATAAGGAAATCGGAATCTTCCTGTAGGCCGCCTAGGGAAGTAACGGTCTGGAATTGATCAAGAAGTTCATCTCCCCTAAGTTAGTTATGTTTAGGGAAAGTAAGCGACAGTCCCAACTATTGGAGTAACAAATCAATTCTCAGAGTATCCCTTCAAACCCCCACAGTCTTTCTACCGTACAAAGTCAGGTCAAAAGCTCAGAATAAAGCTCAAAAACAAGGTGTTTAGTCGTCTTCTCGCCTCGCCATCATTTCAACTACAAATCGCTCAAAGTAACCTTAGTTAATGGTCCCACAAAAGAACTCAAATTTGAGGTTCTGAACTTTCTGATGACAGTGACCCCTAATGCCGCTGCACCGCCCTTTTACCGTTTACTCGGTGGAATAAAGTCTGAAAAGTCATTTAGACGCTCATCAAAACAAGATCGAATAGCTGAACGAGCCATTATTCATGCGACTGTTTGTCGCCGAGTATACGGCAGTTGATCGGCTCATTCAAAATTCAGCAGCCTTCAAAGCGCTGATGACCACACAGACGAGGTGCTCACCCGGTTACCTGCTCAGTCGTCAAAACAAAAACAGTCCAAGAGTAAACAAATCTCCGTAATGCACATAGCGTGCGCTTGCTAGCCTAACGATCAACATTCGAACAACATTTCCAGTATCGGATGCCCGTTATCGGCCAAGACCCGCTTTTGTGTATGATCAGCAATACGATAGGAGCCATTTATGGCAGGTTGCCAGTCACGCATTACATGATTTTATGCAGCCGCCTGAGCCCCGTATGTCGTCGTGGAACAAAGGGAAATTAAGGAGGCAAATGGTGGCGATCGGTCTTCTAGCATGTCAAGGTTTCAGTCCAGCTGGCGATGCCCGGCTGCACTTAGTAAAGGTGATACGCTGCCAGATGTGCAGGTTTTACCGAACCGGTTTTTCAGCCTCTGAAAGATGAGTTGGAGGACAAAAGGATAAAAATCGATTAGTTGACAACTGATATTCATCTCCAAACCTTGATGAAAGGACAGGGCGCACATCTCAACTTCACCTTCTGAGAGGACAACGGGCCGGAATGGTGGGAACTGTTAGACCCAGTGGGATCTAATGTTTTACCAATGGGCAGGAAGGAACAGATTGTTAGAATCGCTTTTTCGAAGTTAAGCAATGAAAGAAAACAGAAGAATGGCACATTCTGATTGCCTCCAAAGGAGTACATCATTTCTTGATCGTCTTAGATTAGTAATGATATCCAGATGGAATAAGGCTTCACTTTAACATTCAGAAGCAAATTTCTTTTATGTAGAATCTTATCACAAAAGGCCTATGAGCTGAGCAGGGAATCGAGCAAAGAACCTGGACTTATTTCCCCTATTTCAGATCCCACAAATAAAAAAAAGTGCTCAAACGATTCATGTTCTTTTGCCAATTAAGGAGCAGTGCGGGCAGTGTAGGATTATACCAGCCTATCGGCTAGGACGTTCCACCTTAGTACCGAAATGGGCGACTATCAAAACTGAAAGGTGTTAAGAATTTACTACAAAATCCTCAAACACTATATACCTTTTATTACAATCTCTCTTGCACTATTTAGTCTACGTAGTCCAAGGTAAATGTTGAGAAAAAGAACCATACAAGAGAGTCATTCCTAATCTGTTGAATGGACTCATGTGGAGGGACATCTTCCGCCATTGAGGCACAAGTCTTTCAAAGAAGTTCCAGTTGAAAAGTTGTCTTCTAAGGGGCAGGGAAGCTTGGTACCGTAACAGGATGAATTCGCATTTTTCCCCTACCAAATTCCTTTTTTGGGAGTATGTATCATGTGGAGTCAAAACTGTGTGAATAACATTCACACCGTAACAACAATGATCATCGAAAGAAGCCTCCGTTTGTTCTCCGAACGTAGAATCATTCTATCCATTTCTCTCCTTCTTCTAACAGAAGTACCAAGGAAAGCGATTTCCCTGAACGAGCACAACAAAAGCTTAGCTACTTTTTTGTTTACAACTCCTAATAATTTTTATAATAAATTTCTTTCTTCTGCAGGTAATGCCGTCGCAATAGTAACTATGTTCAAATCGCGTTATAGTTTCGACAGACCTTCAACCCTTCGATGTGGACTCATCGCAGCCCATCGCCCCTCACCAGATGATTCATCAGAGCACATCGATTTCACAAAAAAAAAACTCTCGGACCGTCCACCCAGCTACGCCACAGCCTTTCGAATGGAGACATTTTTTTGAGGAGTAGTGTCAGAGCGAGAGATCGAACCCTCGATAGCAACCGCAACCTTCTGAATTTATGAACACTACATATATGGTCGAGCACGAACTGAAATTACCGGAGAAAATCAGAGGAAATAGGAAAAATCCTTCGTCGAATCCTTTTTTTTTATGTTTAGGAAATGACAAAGTTGAAAACCAATACAGAATACATAAAATTTCGCCATTCCTTCCCTCGAATATAACGGAAAAAATGTAGAGAGAAGTAAGGTCTGTCCACCTCCAAACTACTTTGCAACAATATCCCAACAGTAGAGATAGAAATGTCATACTTCAGTTATGTATGACATTTTTGCCAAAGCAGCCAAAAAACCCTAAGACACCAAAAAACATATCGTTAGGAATACTATATTGTATGCATGTACTTAACCTTTTTAGACAAACCATGAGCTGTAGGAAAAATGTCCCCTCCACAGCGAGCTCTTGAAACAAGCAGACGTCCTGGTAAAATGTCTAGGGATTTTACTGAAATCGGAGGTTCCTTGAGTATTGCTAGGACTATTTGAATAGGCCTCTAATCAAGCTGCTTGACTTTTTCATTGATGAACTCGAACCAAAAAGATTTTGAGCAAATTTTTGTTTATTTCAAGAGCTCCCTTTCAGAAATGGCTCTTTCTTTAGTGAAATGCTTTTTTGCTACTTACTAAGTGTCTAAAAACGTCCACTTGTTTGATGAATATTGTGTAAAAATAGATTGAGTCTGCTAAGAGAAATAATAGTAAAGATCTGATAAGGGATATCCACTATTTGGACCACTCCCAGCCAAATGAATTTCAGGAGCTTCCTAACAAGTCACTCGATTACTATGATCCTTATAGAAGCAAAAGCATATTTCCCCCACGTAATAAAATGGAAAACTTTGCTTACATCTAAAATACCGAAATATCCAAGCAAGCTACTCAAAGCGAACTGCAAATTGATGCTTCTGGCAGAGCTTGATGATGCTTAGAAGTTTCCATCGGGTGTAACCGCCTGATGAACAACCCTGGCGACTGTACCACCGATGTGTTAGACGCCTGCCTTGGGGGAAGTACAGGAATTCAACCCTAACAACTCAGGTTTTCATGAAGAGAATAGATTCTAATGAATCGAATGCATGATAAGCTTTTCAAAGTTGTCATTTCCACACGGCAATTCCAATGGAATCGGTCATCCTGAAAATTTTGGAATGTTGGCTACAAAAAGAATGTTCACTCGCTGGACAATTTTTCCACTGTATCCTTCAAACGTCCTCTTCTAGTAATGGGTCATTCTCTCCTGGCTACCACCCGAACGGTGAACATTGTTCAACAGACTTAATATTGAAACTTATACACCTTCTCCTACCTTCTACCCATACCAGTAGAGTGTGAACATACAGGACGATTTTTTTGATTATCGGACCTAATTTACTTCTG